CTGCCCCCGGGGTCAGGGATTAACGCCGGCGGATCCTATTGGCACGTTTATGGTTAGAACTAGGGCGGTATCTGATGCCTTCGAACCTCTAACTTTCGTTCTTGATTAATGAAAACATCCTTGGCAAATGCTTTCGCAGTAGTTCGTCTTGCGACGGTCCAAGAATTTCACCTCTAGCGTCGCAATACGAATGCCCCCGCTTGTCCCCATTAGTCATTACCTCAGGCTCCGAAAACCAACAAAATAGAACCGAGGTCCTATTCCATTATTCCATGCACAACACCATTCAGGCCCTTCGCTTAGCCTGCTCTGAGCACTCTAATTTTTTCAAAGTAATTGTGCCGGCCACTCGGGACACTCGGTGAAGAGCACCCGTGCAAGCCGGCGGGCGGCTTTAGTTCAAACCGTTCGGAGCGTGACAGTAAGCACCATCGGCGGTGAAACGTCAGTCCAGAACTGAAGCTCAACTACGAGCTTTTTAACCGCAACAACACTAATATACGCTATTGGAGCTGGAATTACCGCGGCTGCTGGCACCAGACTTGCCCTCCAATTGATCCTCGTTATAGGATTTAAAGTGTACTCATTCCGATTGCGAGGCCTCGGATGAGTCTCACATCGTTATTTTTCGTCACTACCTCCCCGTGCCGGGAGTGGGTAATTTGCGTGCCTGCTGCCTTCCTTAGATGTGGTAGCCGTTTCTCAGGCTCCCTCTCCGGAATCGAACCCTGATTCCCGTTACCCGTTACCGCCAATGTAGGCGCATAACCGACAATCGAGAGCTGATAAGTAAGACACTTGAAAGACACAGCGCCAGTGCAGAGACCGTGCGCTCAGCAAAAAGTTATTCAGATTCAACACGGTGTTAACGGACCGAGGCCCGACGGTTTTAAACTAATAAAAGCGCTCTTCCCTTGCGGTCAGAGACGTAATGCATGTATTAGCTCTAGAATTACCACAGTTATCCAAGTAAGTGGGTATACAGATCCAATGAAACAAGGCTGGTTTAATGAGCAGTTTGCGGTTTCGCGGTTTCAGCTTGTACTTGCACCTGCATGGCTTAGTCTTTGAGACAAGCATATGACTACTGGCAGGATCAACCAGGTAGGTATAGATAGATAGGAAGCTATCTCCTGCTGTTCTCCAGCTATCTCCCATAATGGCCAGAGGCACAGTATGGCAGCTGCTGGGAGGGAGCTAGCTCTGTTGGAGACGTGAGGCCTTGGAAGCTTCAACCGTCGCCCAAGCTTGCTGTAGCAGTAGCCTCCTGCATGGTTGGCTGGCTAGCTAGCTGCTGCAGCTGATGATGATTGCCGGCAGGACAGCATCATGGCATTGCTTCTGATGCTGCCTCTTTCGGCTAACAAACCGATGCCGGTTTGTTCTACAGCTTCATTCCCATTCTCAGACCGATCGAGTGTCGTGAGCACAACTCGATGCTGCTGCTGTCATGGGCAAGCTGGAGACGTGATCGCACGGTGAATGATATGACACTTGAAACAATAGAAGGGTAGCCGCATCAAAGGCAGTCGGGGCACGGCGGCAGAAGGAAAGCAAGCAGCATGGTGGCAGCTAACTACATTCCCTGCGCCGGCCCAGACTTACCGCAGCTCGTACTGTGACGGCAACAGAGGCCGGAGACCCAGCAGATGGGCCGATGGAAGACAGCTAAGGCAACCTGCTACACTCGAGAGCGAGCAATCCCCGTTAACCTAGCTTTTTTTTCCTTCCACCTCGGAGCAAGGAGAGGCAAGCAACACCGTCTCCCTATATATAGATCGTGAGAAAATGGTGTATATGTCTCCGGGACACCATGCATCGCAGTGTCTCTTTTCAACGGGCAATCCTCGTCGAAAATTTTCGAAGACTCAGTCGTTTTTTGGGACTTAAGCACTCTGCCGGCAGCATATCGGCCGAAAACACCCCATCGTCTCTTGGCGCCATCGCCATCAAAGTCAACTGGGCTGGAGCTTGGCAATGCATCATGCGTTGCTACTGATCCTGCTGCTGCCTCTATAAGCTAGAGAACCTATGTCGGTTTTCTTGCTCCTAATAGATGGTTTAGAGATTTAGCTGCGTGAAAGTCACGTCAGGATTGAAACGGCAGACAGCAGAGCATCATGCATTGCTTCTGATCCTGCTGCTGCCTCTTTGAGCTAGAGAACTGATGTCGGTTTTTTTGCTCCTAATAGATGGTTTAGAGATTTAGATGCGTGAAAGTCAAGTCAGGATGGAAACGGCAGAGCATCATGCATTACTTCTGATCCTGCTGCTGCCTCTTTAAGCTAGAGAACCGATGTCGGTTTGTTGCTCCTAATAGATAATTCACAGACTTCGCTGCGGGAAAGTCACGTCAGAATGGAAACGGCGGACAGCAGAGGAGCATCATGCGTTGCTTATGATCCTGCTGCTGCCTCTTTAAGCTAGAGAACCGATGTCGGTTTGTTGCTCCTTGTAATAGATGGTTTTAGAGAGTTAGCTGCGTGAACTTCACGTCGGAATGGAAACGGCGGACAGCAGAGGAGCATCATGCATTGCTTCTGATCCTGCTGCTGACTCTTTAAGCTAGAGAACCGATGTCGGTTTGTTGCTCCTTGTAATAGATGGTTTAGAGAGTTAGCTGCGTGAACTTCACGTCAGAATGGAAACGGCGGACAGCAGAAGAGCATCATGCATTGCTTCTGATCCTGCTGCTGACTCTTGAAGCTAGAGAACCGATGTCGGTTTGTTGCTCCTGATAATAGATGGTTTAGAGAGTTAGCTGCGTAAACTTCACATCAGAATGGAAACGGCGGACAGCAGAGGAGCATCGTGGATTGCTTCTGATCCTGCTGCTGTCTCTTCAAGCTAGAGAACCGATGTCGGTTTGTTGCTCCTTATAATAGATGGTTTAGAGTGTTAGCTGCGTGAACTTCACGTCAGAATGGAAACGGGGGACAAAAGAGGAGCATCGTGCATTGCTTCTGATCCTGCTGCTGCCTCTTTAAGCCAGAGAACGATGTCGGTTTGTTGCTCCTTATAATAGATGGTTTAGAGAGTTAGCTGTGTGAACTTCACTTCAGAATCGAAATAGCAGAGAGCAGAGCCTCATGCATTGCTTCTGATGCTGCTGAGGCCGGAGACCCAGCAGATGGGCCGATGGAAGACAGCTAAGGCAACCTGCTACACTCAAGGGCGAGCAATCACCGTTAACCCAGCTTTTTTTCTTCCACCTCTTGGAGGAGCGGCAAGCACCACCGTCTCCCTATATATATACAGATCGTGAGAAAATGGTGTATATGTCTCCGGGACACCATGCATCGCAGTGTGTCTTTTCAACGGGCAATCCTCGTCGAAAATTTTCGGAGTCTCAGTCGTTTTTTTTTTTTTTTTTGAATGTAGCTTCCAAACTGTTGGAGCAAAACGCAGAGGAGACTGTTGCGACATGGCTTCACTTGAGATGCGCTCCTTTCACCTCAACCTGCTTTTCCCGTTGAAACGGGGGACGCAATTCATCTTCTCTACGTCCGTACGGCAACTGAACGGAACATCTCCGGTACATGCCGGAGGCCCAGATGCCGGCCGGCCGGAGCAGATGGGCCGATGGAAGACAGCTAAGGCAACCTGCTACACTCAAGGGCGAGCAATCACCGTTAACCCAGTTTTTTTTTCTTCCACCTCTTGGAGGAGCGGCAAGCACCACCGTCTCCCTATATATATATATACAGATCGTGAGAAAATGGTGTATATGTCTCCGGGACACCATGCATCGCAGTGTGTCTTTTCAACGGGCAATCCTCGTCGAAAATTTTCGGAGTCTCAGTCGTTTTTTTTTTTTTTTTTGAATGTAGCTTCCAAACTGTTGGAGCAAAACGCAGAGGAGACTGTTGCGACATGGCTTCACTTGAGATGCGCTCCTTTCACCTCAACCTGCTTTTCCCGTTGAAACGGGGACGCAATTCATCTTGTCTACGTCCGTACGGCAACTGAACGGAACATCTCCGGTACATGCCGGAGGCCCAGATGCCGGCCGGCCGGAGCAGATGGGCCGATGGAAGACAGCTAAGGCAACCTGCTACACTCAAGGGCGAGCAATCACCGTTAACCCAGCTTTTTTTCTTCCACCTCTTGGAGGATCGGCAAGCACCACCGTCTCCCTATATATATACAGATCGTGAGAAAATGGTGTATATGTCTCCGGGACACCATGCATCGCAGTGTGTCTTTTCAACGGGCAATCCTCGTCGAAAATTTTCGGAGTCTCAGTCGTTTTTTTTTTTTTTTGAATGTAGCTTCCAAACTGTTGGAGCAAAACGCAGAGGAGACTGTTGCGACATGGTTTCACTTGAGCTGCGCTCCTTCCACCTCAACCTGCTTTTCCCGTTGAAACGGGGAGGCAATTCATCTTCTCCACGTCCGTACGGCAACTGAACGGAACATCTCCGGCACATGCCGGAGGCCCAGATGTCGGCCGGCCGGAAACACCCAATAACCTATTGGCGCAATCCCCGTCTCAGAGGCCCGGCTACAGTACTTTTACCTCGGATATCTTCCGGCCGGCGGGAATCATCATCTCTCCGGGGACGGCTGCCGGAAACTTTCCGGAACAAGTCTGGTATAGCAGTAGCCTCCTGGATGGCTGGCTGGCTGGCTGGCTGGCTGGCTGGCTAGCTAGCTAGCTAGCTAGCTAGCTAGCTGCTGGTGGTGGTGATGATGATGATGATTGCCGGCAGCAGATCATCATGCTTTGCTTCTGATCCTGCTGCTGCCTCTTTAAGCTAGAGAACCGATGTCAGTTTGTTGCTCCTTATAATAGATGGTTTAGAGAGTTAGCTGCATGAACTTAACGTCAGAATGGAAACGGCAGACAGCAGAGGAGCATCATGCATTGCTTCTGATCCTGCTGCTGCCTCTTTAAGCAAGAGAACCGATGTCCTTTGTTGCTCCTTATAATTGATGGTTTAGAGTGTTAGCTGCGTGAACTTCACGTCAGAATGGAAACGGCGGACAGCAGAAGGAGCATCGTGCATTGATTCTGATCCTACTGCTGGCCTCTTTAAGCTAGTAGAACCGATGTCGGTTTGTTGCTCCTTATAATAGATGGTTTAGAGAGTTAGCTGCGTGAACTTCACGTAGAATGGAAACGGCGGACAGCAGAAGAGCATCATGCATTGCTTCTGATCCTGCTGCTGACTCTTGAAGCTAGAGAACCGATGTCGGTTTGTTGCTCCTGATAATAGATGGTTTTAGAGAGTTAGCTGCGTAAACTTTCACATCAGAATGGAAACGGCGGACAGCAGAGGAGCATCGTGGATTGCTTCTGATCCTGCTGCTGTCTCTTCAAGCTAGAGAACCGATGTCGGTTTGTTGCTCCTTATAATAGATGGTTTAGAGTGTTAGCTGCGTGAACTTCACGTCAGAATGGAAACGGCGGACAGCAGAGGAGCATCGTGCATTGCTTCTGATCCTGCTGCTGCCTCTTTAAGCCAGAGAACCGATGTCGGTTTGTTGCTCCTTATAATAGATGGTTTAGAGAGTTAGCTGTGTGAACTTCACTTCAGAATCGAAATAGCAGAGAGCAGAGCCTCATGCATTGCTTCTGATGTGCTGATGCGGAGACCAGCAGATGGGCCGATGGAAGACAGCTAAGGCAACCTGCTACACTCAAGGGCGAGCAATCACCGTAACCCAGCTTTTTTTCTTCACCTCTTGGAGGAGCGGCAAGACACCACCGTTCCTATATATATATTATACAGATCGTGAGAAAATGGTGTATTGTCTCCGGGACACCATGCATCGCAGTGTGTCTTTTCAACGGCAATCCTCGTCGAAATTTTCGGAGTCTCCAGTCGTTTTTTTTTTTTTTTTTGAATGTAGCTTCCAAACTGTTGGAGCAAAACGCAGAGGAGACTGTTGCGACATGGCTTCACTTGAGATGCGCTCCTTTCACCTCAACCTGCTTTTCCCGTTGAAACGGGGACGCAATTCATCTTCTCTACGTCCGTACGCAACTGAATACGGAACATCTCCGGTACATGCCGGAGGGCCCAGATGCCGGCCGGCCGGAGCAGATGGGCCGATGGAAGACAGCTAAGGCAACCTGCTACACTCAAGGGCGAGCAATCACCGTTAACCCAGCTTTTTTTCTTCCACCTCTTGGAGGAGCGGCAAGCACCACCGTCTCCCTATATATATACAGATCGTGAGAAAATGGTGTATATGTCTCCGGGACACCATGCATCGCAGTGTGTCTTTTCAACGGGCAATCCTCGTC